GTTTTAAAATGGGTATCCAAGAAGAGGTTGACAATTTTTTAGGCTCAAATTGGTTGACTAGAGATAAGTCTCTTTGAGTTTAAGTGTTTGGGAGTTAGGGTAATCAAAGATGACCTTTTATACCTAGATTTTGAACTTTTAGCATTCTTGAATGATGACAATCACTTAACTTAAGCTAGCATACCCCTTACTTCACACTTTACACTCCCTGGGTTCATGATGCAAGTATCAAAGAAATGATCTTTATTCATGATCTTTTATTTTGGCTCAAAATGGGTAACTAGGGATGATATTTGTGTTTGGGATAAAGAAACATGGCCTTTCTTCATTGAACCTTCCTACCTTTGAACTCATTTGTGGCTTTTCTCACCCCTTTTTTTTTTTACTCTCTTTTTTTTTTTTTTTTTTTTTTTTTTTTTTGCATCATTGCCCAAATCACAGACCTTGAATTGAGATATCATCAACATATCCTTAGAAAGAAGAGATTTAATCCATCAAGAAGCAAAGAATTATTTGAATAAGAAATGAGTAAGGAAGTTGTGCAATAGAATTATGAAAACATGAAAGATGAGGAAGTAATATATTAACTTCTGAGGTGAGAATACTAACATATCAAGCAAATCATAAAATATGAAACTTTAACAAGGATGTGCCCATTATTTTACTTTAACCATGATCTTGGGCAAAATCAATGGTGGATTTAAGTTACTTATACTACTAATAACTGAAAAGCCAAGATAATTGACATAGTCCATCACTTCAAGAATCCAAACTAGAGGTCGGGTTCACCTCTGACACGGACCTAATGCAAAATGAGAGTGAGTGTGTGCAAGGGGCATGACATTCCAATAACCTGCACAATGACAACCACAAAAATAACAACATATATCCCACAGTAATCAAATAAAGCATATAAAACACTCAATAGATGTAGCATCCACAAGCACACCTACTTACACAGCAGGAAGGGACTCACCTAATACTCCCATGCCAAATGCAAAAGGTTAGTAACACAAAGCAACCAACACTTAGCATGCAACAAGATATAAATAATCGCACAAGAGGAAAGAGACTCACTGAGTACTCCAAAGCCAAATGTAAAAGGTGAGTATATCCACACACAAGCAAACAGGCATGTAAGCATGATGCATGATGAATAAGCATATAACATCAATGATGGATGAGCATGTGAGATGATATGATGCATGAACATGTGAGCAAGGTATGATGCATGTCATGATATGACAAGATAATCACTCAAAGACAAGAACAATAAAAGCAAGCACCAAAACAATAAGCAAAGAAGCAACAAGCACCACATAACAAGCACATGCAATAAGTGACAAAGACTCATAAAGACTCAAAAAAGACTTAACAAACAAGGAAAATCAAAAAATCAAAAATTTCCCAAAGTTAAAGTATTGGCTCGACTCTCATGAATCTAGAATATGGAAACCAGAGATTCTGGGTTCAATCCCTAGTGGAGTTGCTAATCTGTTGATGACCACTTAAAATTTCAAAATAATGAAAAATTATATGTTTAAACATATAAGAAAGAAAGGAGTCATCACTCGTCCAAATTATAAGGTGGGACAAGTCACCTAAAACGGTTTTGCGCAGAAATCAGGGTTTGGAGGTTTGGTTAGGAATGAGGAAAGGCATATGTGCAACTCACAATCCTTCGTTTAAACACAATTGCATAATTTAACATTGGGGTTTTAATTCAACCTATCCATTATCTTTATATTTAGGTCCTAATAAGCAAACTTAAAAGAAAGATGGACGAAATTGCAACATTTTTAAAACTTTTTTGGACTAAAATGGACAAAATCAAAGACATGCATACACCATGAACACAAATAAAAATTAAATGGACTAATTTGGTTAAATTCAAAAACATGAAAGACTGACTTGATTAAATTCACAAATGTGGAGGACTGATTTGAAAAGATTTGGAACCTTGGACTGAATTGCTTAATTATAAAAATTTTGGGTGAAATTTGAAATAAATAAAGATAATTTTGACTTTGACCAAGATTAAAGAAAGTTAAGGATTTAAGTTAATCAACCATGATAATTAGTTTAATTAAATGATTAATTTGACATGAACTAAGATTAATTTAAATTAATTAATCATATTTATCAACATTTAATTAAGATCATTAAATAAATCTAATAATCTCAAACTAAGGTCAATAAACATCATTAATTTCATTAATCATAATAATTAAACCGATTAACCTAATTAATTACTAATCATTCTTTTATATATATAATTTTTTTTGTTTTAACCCTTTTCTTTTTTTAGTTTTTTTTTTTACTGGATCAGGTCAAATTGACCCAACCCAAAAACACAATCCATCAAACAAATAAGCACAAAATAGATAAATGGTTTAAGTACCATTTTGGTCCCTCAGCTTTTTACTTTAGCACCAAAATTGTCCTTCAACTTTAAAAAGTACTAAAATTATCCTTAAACTTTCATTTTTTGTACCAAAATAGTCATTTCGTTAGTTAAATGACAGGTGTCACGTTAACTTTGCTAGCAAATCAATTCTTTTTTTTCTTAACTAATGACGTGGAAAAAAAACATAGTTGGCCTATGAGTTGGCATTTTTATTTAATTTGAAAATAATAATTTTTTTTTCATCCATGTCATCTCCTTTTCCTCTTTCACTTTCTCTCTCCTTTACCTTTCCTTTTCCCTTACCTTTGCCAAACCAGATCTGGGATTTGGGTTTCTCTCTCAAACTTCATCTTCTTCCTCCCTTCCTCCTCCTTGCTCATCCTTCTTCTTTCTTCTTCTTATTCTCTCTCTTTCTCTTCTCCCTTCTTCTTCCTCTCTCAAACCTAGGTCTGGGTTTTTCTTCTACGACGGCATTTAAACCTTTTATCGGAATCACAAAATACTAAACCAAATGTAACAGATATTAAACAAAAGTCAGCTCAAAGGTAAACCCAATGTTGAAGTTTAAAGCACAAATTAGAACTTAACAAATTAAAAGTGGCATATCAAAGAGGAAAAATAGTGTTAAAATAGTCAAGAATGGCTAATGATAGATACAGTGCATCACAGAACATTGAAAAAAAAAAATAAAAACTTTAATGGACAAGCATAATGTAGATTGAGGGTTTCAAAACACCTTCCATAGACCTTGCAAGGGTCTTTCTGGGGTGGGAGAGCAATCAACGATCTTCAGAAAATGCTCAGGCTCCCACTTCCTCCTTGGCTGTTGCTCCTTCTCCTTCCTCTTCTGTTTTTGCCAAGATTTATCACTGTTGAGGCTCATCTTGTTTGCAAAATGTGATACATTTCTAATAAGAAACAATTTGGCAAGCTCCCAAGGTACTCGCTTTTAGCCCCAACATTCACTTCCTCACTTTCTTCCCCTTGTAAATTCTCTGAACTCGAACTCCTTTTGAAACCATTCCTACCTTGCCTCTCCTTTATGTTCTCATAGCTAAAGCTTACATTTTCTTCGACCAAAACGTGGCCACTACCCATGAAATTAACGTTCACCGAAACCAAATTTTGATCCAAACACACGAATTCAAGCCAGCACTCAAAATCTCTGGACAAGATTTCACTATGCTCTTCTAGATCGAGAAAATTCACGATTAAAAGAAACCATTAGCTTTTTCCTACCATTGATTCACCACCGTAGAAGGCATTGATTTCGATTGAGAAAAACCCAAATCTGGGTTTGAGAGAGGAAGAAGAAGGGAGAAGAGAGAGAAAGAAAGAATAAGAAGAAGAAAGAAAAAGGATGAGCAAGGAGGAGGAAACGAGGAAAGATGAAGTTTGAGACATAAACTCAAATCCTAGATCTGGGTTCGTAGAGGTAAGGGAAAAGGGAAGGTAAAGGAGAGAGAAAGTGAAAGAGGAAGAAGAGATGAGGTGGATGAAAAAAAAAACCATTATTTTTAAATTAAATAAGAATGCCAACTCATAAGCCAACCATGTTTTTTTTTTCCACGTCATTAGTTAAGAAAAAAAATTGATTTGTTGGCAAGTTAACATGACAATTGTCATTTAATTGACAAAATGATTGTTTTGGTACAAAAAATGAAAGTTTAAGGATAATTTTGGTACTTTTTAAAGTTAAAGGACAATTTTGGTGCCAAAGTGAAAAGTTGAGGGACCAAAATGGTACTTAAACCTAGATCAAACCTTATACAAAAGTCAAGATCTAGACGGCATAAAGAGAAACTTAGGGTTCATACTGATTGCATCTCATTTCCAGCAAAGACAAACATATTCATCAGGAAATAAACTGGACAATTTTTTTGATTTTTGATTTAATTTTCCAATGAAACACATACAAATATAAACATCATCAAAACAGATAAACAAATACAGGAAGACAAATGAAACAAGCACGGCAGAGCTTTCTGGGTAATAGATCAGAGTCCGATGCAAGGAATCCCACCCACGGGATCAAGCCCATATCATTCCCCTCACTGCCTCCCAAAAAGACTCCTCTGTTGTAGGAAAATACCTAAGACAAGGATAAATCCAAAAACGTAGCTTCCTTCCAACAGGAATCCCTCTCTTTTTCTTTGCCATCAACACCAAAACTCAAAACCAAAGAACCCCCAGAATCAACAAAAAGAAAACCCCCCCCCCATTTACTATGATTTCTGCTCTATATATATATACCCAACAAAATAAAACAAAAATAAAAACCCTCGATCTGTTGGGAGCCCTTTGATCTTCCTCTTTTTCTTCCTACAGTAGATCCAAAAGGGCCAAGATTGATCCCTTTCATGCCTCTGACAACCTCTGGTTTTTGTAAAGAAAAGAAAGGGACTGAGCCTCTAACCTTGTCTCTTGTTCATGGCTTTTGGAGTAATAAAGCAGGCACAGCAGTGCAGGGGGTGCAGCAATGCAAGGGGACACAATAGTGTAGGGGGCATAGAGGGACACAGAGCAGATTGTAGGAAGGGCAAAGTATTTCTACGTTTCTTTTTTTTTTTTCTACCATCCACCCCTTTTGTTCATTTCTCCCCCATTTAAAGAGAAGGAAAACTAGGGTCTTTTCATTGTTGGGTTTGGGTTTTGATGGACTGATTTTTGGGCCATTTGAGATGGGTTTGAGAAATGGGTTGAACTTAAGGCTTTTGTATGATTTTTTATAATTTGGCCTTACACTTTAAATTCTTTCAATTAAGTCCCTTTCTTGAGTTTTTTTTTTCCCATTTCTTCTTGAAGTTCTTTTTGCACAAAGCACCTGAAACAAAATAAAGATATATTAGTCAAAGAGAAGAGAAATTTTCATTTTTTTTTTATATTTTATGATTTTTTTATTTTAATTTTTTTTATTAATTTTGTGATTGATATATATATATATATATATATGAAAAGTCTAAATAAACTAAATGAAAAATGGGGTTATGACACACTCCCCTTACTATATTCCATGGCACAGCTTTCATACCGCACAATGCAACACCTTTACCCAAACTAACCAAGCTTCCTTATACATACAAAATAAATGGTTAACCTACTCCACTTCCTCATGACACAAACCACATATTAACTCCTCCCCTTGCCAAATCACCCTTCTTTTTTTGTAAATTCCACTTTGTCAGAAGTCTATCAAGACATATTCTCCACCCCAAAAAACCAATTTTTTAAGGCACTAACCTACACCAAATTAGCTTGCAAAATTGAATCTCAAGAAAACACTCCCTAAGAGCTAAAACCTAATAAACTTTCTTCACCACATATCTTCCTTCCAAGTCATGTGCCCATCTCCAACAATCCCTTATACCCTCCTTTAATTAAACACTGTCTAGCATCACCCACAACTCTTCCTCACCCCTTTCTTGACCCATTCTCCCCTTTCTCCATTCCATATTCCAGCGCCACTTATCCCTTTCCCATACCCCTATCTTACTAACCATACCCTCTTTATTTACAACTAACTCAAATAACCTAGGACATAAACCCCTTAAAGTTTTATCATCCACCCAATTCTCTCTCCAAAATCCCACCTGACATCCACCTCCCACCACCCACCTAAACCTTGATGAGCTAATTCCACTCTAGCAAGTGTACTAGTTCGTTCAAGTAATATAATGATGAAAATAGAGTATCGTCCCACAGAGACTGTAGACTAATTAAGTACCAAAATTAACCAATTCTAATTTTATTTGAACAATTGATATTAAATGATTTAAATGAATTAAATGACTAAACTAATTAAAGAAAAACTAAATTGACTTTAAGTAACACCAAGAGTTAAAATTTTAAGGCATCCGATTTCACCATAATCAACTAATATAGAATTTAGATTAATATACTTCCAAGGTATTTATTATTTATGTGACAACGGGATTTTCTATCCTATTTGATATACTTTCTCAAGTCATATCAAACTTATCTTCATCTATTAACCAACTATATCTCTATGTGAATTTAAATAGATAAAGATGCATTATGTTATGTGAAATTCCCTAGTTTACGTGAAAAATTAAGTCCACTTATCACTAATGCTGCACAAATCATGTTGGTCTATCTCTGGCTTTTGTTCAATTTATGGTATATATTACTAGAAGCTATTGCACAAAATCTCGTATCGATCTCAACTATGCTCTCCAAATTAGTTTTAATGGTGGCCAATCATTAAAAAGCATTAAGAACAATAATATATACTCTACATAAAATAATAAATCTTGAAAATATAAAAATCATAAAATTATATTAAATTGATTAGGCTACATCGTAGCCTTAGATGACTAAATCAGTTCATAATTAAAGAAAAGAAAATCAATAATCTCATGATGAATATATGAATATCCAACATCACAAAATAAAATTCAAGGACAAACAAAACCAGTTTGATGATATAAAATCTCAAGTCTTGATCTTCTTTTATTGTTGAATTCCTTTTAGTCGTTTCTCTTGGTCTCCCCTCAAAAGCCCTAAAACTGATTTTTGAATGGGTATTTATAGAGTTTAAGAAATCCTATTAGAAGAGAAGTAGGACTCGGAACAAAATAGGAAATTGGGATTTTGGATGTTGAACGCATAGTGCCAACACCTTGAATTACGTGTTGACACTAAACAGGAAACAAAATCTATAATTCTGGTCGACACGCTAATTATGTATCAACACCACACCCGTGTCGGGTTTCTGGCCTCGTTTTGCAATTTCTTCAATGGTCAGTTGAGCACAACACCATAGACAGTTGGTCGCGGCCACTCGCTATGAGCATGCCACCACAAAGTCCCTTCTTCGGTGGTGAAAATGATCTTCTGGCTAAATCTAGCTCTCGATTGAATAGCACACTGTGTGATGTATTTTGGACAATCTGACCATGGATTTCTTGGCTATCTCACTCCATGCCTGCCAAAATGCCACTACCATCATATATGTGAGTAGGAATCTCCTTTAATTTCCATTCATATTTCTGAATATATATCCAGTACTGAATTGGTTTGAGATAATACCAATGAAAGGTGATGTTATATTTTCCTCTATTGTAAACATCTACAATGATAGTATCTCCTTTGTGAACATATAATGTTGGTTCCGGAAATTGGCCATTCACGGTTAGTATGTTCTTCATGCTACATAATCTTGTATATGGAACTTCCTTCACCTATAGAAACAATGTGTGATAAATACAACAGTATTTTGACTTTTCATTATAAAAACCCAAATATGTACTTACAATGAATTTGTAATGCACCCAGGCTTGGTAGCTATAGAAAAAGAAAAAGGAAGAACCCTAAAGGTTGTGAAGTAAAGACTTTCATGGTGGGCATATATTAAGTTGGGATGGATGAATAAATGAAAATGAGATGGCGGTATAAATAGAGGCCCATTAGGCATAAATAATTAAGAACCTGTTTGGTGTGACTGAAACTTTTATTAAAAGTCCTATTAGAAAGGATTTGTTGTAGAAGTATTGTTTTTGAGAAGTTGAAAGTGTTTGGTAAAATTTTTTATAAAAGTACTTATAGAGTGAGAAGTTGTTTAGTAAAATTTTTTATAAAAAATTTTTGATATACATTCACAAAATAACATTTCTCCTTCTTTGATCTCCATTCCCCTGTTATTCCCAAACAACCATCACCTATAAATTCACCCAACTTGACAAAATTCATTTTATTGCATACACACAATAGGCCTCCTGAAGCTCCCATCGATTTCTTCATAACCTAGTCAATCCCATCCAAATTCCACAACATCCTACATAAACTCCCATCTACCCCTTCCAATTTAGTCTCTCGCAAAAACATAAAATCTAGCCTTTCTATTCTTACCATTTCCCCACTTCCTTCCTCTTCAACATCCCTCCTAAACCCCTAACATTAAGGGACAAGATCTTCATTCTAAAGATAAAACCCACAACCCCAATCATCCTAACTACCCTTAAATCCCTTTCATACTCTGCCCCCTTGTAGCATCTCGTTCCTCCATCTCTAATAATCTAGATTGAACCTCCTCTTTGTTATCTTGTAACTAGATACCCAACCTTTTTCCCACACTAATCATCTCCCTCACCTCATGTAAGTTCATCTCTTGTTGAATTACCCAATTTCTATGTGCAATACACCCATCCGAAAGAGAAATATTGCCTCGTACCTTGTTTTCTATAGCCTGTTAAGCCTTTGTCCTTCTTTCTTGTCTTTGCTTTGTTCAACTAAACTCTTATTGGTTTATTGCGAAAATAAAAAGACTATGCACACAACATTTACTATACAATATCATGCACAATATAATGTAACATATATAATTAATTTTTTTATCTAGAAATCCATTCATGATATTATGTATTATGTGTATCTTCTCATTTTTAATTTCACATTATAATATTATGCAATATACAACATAACATGACATTTGTACGTATAGTGTTTCAGAATCCAATAATTTAGCTCTTCAAAGAATTATTTATCTTTATTTTCTTTGCTAGCAATGACCCTGTTTCTAGATGAAATTAAATGACGACCAAAGGAAGTGGAAGGGAAAAAGATGTTCAATTCTGTTTTGGTTTTCGCTTTTCATCTTTCATTTTGTAAGTTAAATGACAAATTTGACTTTTTCGTTTTTGACGATTGGGTTTTAACTTCAATCAACTTTTGTCAAATTAAATTCGTGAAGGAATGGTATATTCACGTCGGGAATAATTCAACGACGCATATCGGTCACTATTGATTATGTTTGGATCATTCTTCAAAATTAACCTGTGGATTGAGACTCCTTGTTATGAATGTAGTAATCTACAACTCCATTAATTGATAACAAGTAAACAATGTATTTAAAAAAAAAATCTTAAATTATATAACAGCAAACAACTTTATTTAATCTCTTTGCACAATTCATCGTGCCATACAACTAGAACTTAAAATCTTTTGCTTTCATTAGAAATAGATTACCATTAAGTTATTTAAATTGTTAGTAGCAACTCAATAATGTTGTAGAAGGTTTAATTTTAACAATGTTATGCTGTCATAATTTACTTATGTTAAATTTTTATAGAAGGATTTTTTTTTTCTGTTTTTGTCTCCCATCATTTAATGTACACTACAAACAGAATGCCTTTTACCAACGGAAGTTTATACTAACGGCCATGAATCCGTCCGTATAAAACCATCTATACCAACGGAAAATTTAAGTAGTTAGTATACACAGATCTATACCAACGAAAAAATTATCCATTAGTATAGGATGGATTTATACAAACGGATTTTAATTATCCGTCTGTACCGAGTATGTCAATTTTAACGGATAATCATTATCCTCTGGATTATTGCTTTGTCAGATCTCATGAACATTGTCGACTTAAATGATATGTCATGGTTGATGAAACGTAATTGGTAAATAGAAACTAATTACAAGATTTAAAAGGTCTTAATGTATATATATTTTATAATATTAAGTTCTATTTGATTGAGCTGAAACTTGTGAGGTTTGCATATGATATATCATTTCTTTGGCTACCCCTGAATTTCTTTCTACTGAATTGTAGGTTGTGGATGCTAATAGTGGGCAAGGTTTTTCCCCAATTAATCGTTCCTCTTCACATTCAAGCCAACACCTTATGTCTTGCCAAAATGAAAGTAATGAAGAAAACGATGGGAAAAGGGATTGAAAGGCATGTTTGTATCTCTTTTTGGATTTGTAATTTCTGCCACTAAGCATTTAATTGAACTTCTTTGGATTCTGCAATTTCTGTTTTAACTTAAATCTGTTGTTTTGAGATTGATTTATATCTATCGAATTCCTCTTTTATGATTGCTAATTTAGTGCATCATTAACTGATTTTTTTAAAAATTTTTATGGCCTTTTTTATTGTGTTGAATAGTTTGATCTGCATAGACTAGCTTAGCTTGAGCGGTTGTGTGCTTTGGTGGGATTGGTTGTGTGCTTTGGAGGGATTGATTCGTCCAAATGGTTAGGAAATTTCAAAGTTGTGTTTTTTTCTTTCCTGTTTGTGTGTAAATGGTTAGGGATTAATTAGTGCTTTGGAGGGATTGATTTGTGCAAATGGTTGTGTGCTTTGGAGGGATTGATTTTGTAGGTCAGAAATATGGCATTAGTAATAAGTGCAGGAGAAAATGATAAAATAAAAGTAAATTATCAATTAAAAAAAAAAAGGATCTATACCAACGGAATTGTCCATCTGTAAAGGTAAGGGTCTATACCCACGGCAAATTTTTAAAAATTTTTCAGGGTCTATACCAACAAAAGTTTTTTCCATCGGAATAGATCCCAAGGGTCTATACAGACGGATTGGGCGTCGGTATAGACCCTATACTGACGAGGTTTCTACCCACAGAAAGTTTGTTCGCCGGAATAATTTTTGGGGTCTATACTGACAGAAAAAGGGTTTATACAGACGGAAAACTTCCGTCAGTATAGGTACATTTGCTTGTAGTGGTACTTCACCTATATGCTATGTTATTTGAATTAAAAATCTCTTATATTCAACAAAGGGAAATTAACATTGCATGACTTTAATCATTGGCTTGGGCAGCTTTAGTGATAGGTAAAGGATGAATGTCATTTAATATTACGTGTGGGCACCAAACTGCACCGGCTTCAAACCTCCAGGTGGAAAAATGCAATTTTTCCTAAGAAAATCATACTTACAAAGCAGATTTATGAGGAGAAGACAATACTACATATTCAAAATTGAATATCTTCACCAAACTACACCGGTGCCAAAACTTAGAAAAATGCAATTTCGCCTAAGAAAAATCATCCTAACAGACAAGATTCATGGTGAGGAGATCAGAATTCCATATCTTCCATTTAACGGTTTTGGCTTTTTGCTACTTTTAGGTATTGTTTGGATTGGAGGTGTCGGATGGAGAGGGAGGGGAAGGGATGGGGACAGATGGCAAGGGAGGGAGAGCGAGGGGAGCTATCTCCTTCCTCCTGTTTGGGTTTCCAAAGAGGCAAAGGGGAGGGAGATGGACTGATTTGGACTCCCTCCAACCACCCTCAAATCTGCAGATTTGCAATCCGCCCGATTTGGAGGGTTTGGGAGGGATTTGAGTGACTGTTTAGATTAAATTAAATATAATTGCAAAATTAACCTTAATTTTTTTATTATATCCTTTTCCATTACAAGTTTAATGGATAAATTTGTAAATTTAAAATTAATTTAAATCTTTTCCTTCCTCTCCTTCCTTTTACCTTAATTATCCAAACATAAAATAATACAATCCTTCCCTTCTCTTCCCCTTCCTCATTTTTATTTATCCAAACAAAATTAACACAAATCATTTCCTTCTATTTTCTTCCCTTCCCTTTCTTTTCCTCCCCCTCCATGTCCTTTTATTTTCCTCCATTCCCCTCCCTTCCCTTCCCTTTACTATTTTCTATCCAAACAAGGGCTTAGATACAGACGTGGACGACCTCTGCCCAACCAACATGGCATGTCCACTTCGGACAAGGACATTCCACTTTCCCCTTTGTGACCCTAAAGCTTTCCTAATTCATAATGTCAAAATCGTATGCATTAATTATATATGTACGTACAATAACCATATCTTAATCAAATCAAATTGTAAACCTTATCTCATGCATCTCTAACAAATTAAGCCACGCTTGTCCCACATTATTTTTTTTTTAAGTATTATAAATAAAGATAAATGTTGTTCTAAATTCTTAGTTTAAAAAAATGGTGGTTATTTTTAAAAAATGAATATTTTTTTTTAAATATCTTAATGATAAAAAGATGAAATAAATACATTATTAACTTGTATCACAATACCTTTTCTTAAAAGTGAACAATTTGAGGAAAGGAAATAATGGAGAGACAAACCTTTTTTTATAAATTTTTCATATAATATTACATGTCATTTAATGATTAATTAGTTCTTTTCACTCTAATCATGAGATCTATGATATCAATATTTGAATTATAAATATTGATAGGGTTTTTTTGGTGTATTAATTATACATTCTTATAATTAAAAATTTAAAATTAATTTTAAATTTATTAACTATCTAATTAAAATAAACTAGTTGACATTAGTATTAAAAATAATGCTTGCTTTTACATTTTTTGATTAAAAATTTATTAAAAAAATACAATTAATTCACCTTTAACCTGTAAACACAAGTTAAAAAATCTATATTAATAATTATGCAATTTTCTTCAATCTAATCTATGTTACACTATAATTCCAATAAAAATAAAGAAGACAAAAGTACATGATATTTTAACAATTCAATGAACAACAAATATGGATTTTAAAATGACAAAAGTGTTTGTTGAAATGCCTCGATCAGAGAATTAAGCAAGAGAAGATAGTTTGTTAGGGTAGGAGCAGTGGGAAGAGATAGGTGATGGGTCTTGAACTCATGCAAACCATATGGATTTAAAGGAAATATAGTACTATATTTCAAATTTAAATACGAATTAATGCAACCTTTAGAACTTCCTATACCAATAATATAATGATCTTTTACTTTAATTTTTTATTTTAACATAATGATTTTTTGTTAGCAGCAATCATATATAGTTCCAATAATAAAAACAAATTAAGTCGTCGTTTAGAAGCAACTTATAGCATATTAAAGAAATAAAAGTATTAAATTAATATAAATGCCTTTGTTCCCAAGGATTTGACTCCCTTAAAAGTTGGAAGGTTTCTTAAAGAAATTGTTCTCCTTCTCCGTAAGGAAAAAATTAGTCCAAGGGGATCATTTCGTTGAACTGGAACATCCTTGGCGAAAAATGGAATTGGAATTTGGAATCACAGTTAGAAGAGAAGTCAACAGATATCCGGGCCAGTAATGGTAATCGATTAGAATTTTTATAAGGGCAGTGGGGAGTTTCCTTCTCTAACTTTTTAGTCCCTTAACTTTTTGATTTGGATTAAAATTATCTATTAACTTTAAAAAGTACTAAAATTATCTCTAAACTCTAACTTTTGTATCAAAATAGTCCTTAAACTTTGAAAACAAGTACCAATTTAGTCCTTGAACTTTGAAGACAAGTACTAATTTAGTCCTTAAACTTTAATTACAAATACTAATTTAATCTTTCAACTTTGATTATATATCAATATGATTTATGTGATGATGGCAAAATATAACTATTTAATTTTACATGTTATTAGTATTGTTTTAAAAAAAATTGATTTTATGACAAAATAATGAGTTATGTGACATTTCTATTAACAAAAGGAATTTTTTAGTATTAAAAATTAAAGTTCAGAGATAATTTTAATATTTTTTGGAGTTGAGGAACAATTTTGAGGGACTTTTAACCATTTTGAATTCATTCATCTCAAGTAAATTGCAAATGTAATATATCTATGCCTTTGTAAGTTTAGAGTTTTGAAAGCAGAGAGGAAAGATATGACCACCATCACCAAACTACCTCATACTGTTATTGCAATAAAAATATGAAAAATGATTAATACACACTTAATTCAATACACCTACACTCATTCTAGTTTAGCTATTAAAATGTAATATAAATACAATTGATTCAATTGGTTCCTACATCCTATATTCATAGTTGCATATTTAAGTTTGTCTGTCTTTAATTTCAAACCAGAAAATAATGATTTTTAATGAATGTGTCATGCATCATGTTTAACCAAAGTATATACCGATCACTGTTCTAAAAATATATATTAATTTGCAATAGGAAAAATGTTTATTAACTAGATTTTTAAATTAAGAAGGAAAACTTCAATAAAATTATATCATTTCATATTGAAAAAACTAAAATAACTTAGTTTTAAAGTAGGAATGAAACTATTTGATCTTTTTCTGTAATGTTTTATGATGTTTTATTGAAATGATATAATTTTGAGGTCTTTCTTAATTTTTTAGAGGATGAACTGAAAACACTAATCTTATTGGACAATTACTAACTTTGGAAAAACTACTAAAGTTGTCCCAAGCTTTTACTTTTGTGAGTTTATACCCTTAAACTTTTTCTTACATAATATGAGTATCTAAGTCTTTGACTTGACTAATTCTACAAGTACTTATAAATTGTCTATTTATACTTTATAGGTATTGGAAAATTTCCTTCAAAGGTGGCTGGCATGACTTTGACATTATTTAAATCCAAATAACAATAGAGAGATTCAACTGTGCATTGTCAAGTAGAGTTGTCACCTATTCTTAACAAATGGGTTGCCGAGGCTTAAACTCAGTCGTTTTGCTGGATTTTTCTTTGGGTAATTTTGTTTTGTTGAGCTACTTTTTTAAGTAAATTTAGGAACTCATTTTGGTAGAAAAGTAAGTTGAAGGGTACGAGCTAATAAAAAAAAAAATTGAAAGCATTCTTTGATCATTTTGCCTCTACTCTTAACGTTATATGGAATTTTGCCAACAACATGTTCACAACAATTATTTATTCATTTCATTCTCTATACCCGTCTAGCTATATATGTAAATGTCCAAAATTCAAAGCAATAATTTTACAATGAACATTTTTTTTTTGTTGAACAGCAAACATATTATTATTAATTAATAAGCGGAATACAAGGGGTACTCCAAACCCAAGTACTCAAATTTGACTTCAAAGCAGGTAAATTTTCAAAAGCAAATTTAAATAACTGAACTGGTAAGTGTTGTTAAATGTATTGAATCAAAAAGTATACCAATCATTTTCTTTTGGACTAATCCATTTTTTATGTAATATCCTTTCATCCTTTTTTAACTAAAACTTTTCAAATCATTTGGACTAATCCAATTTTTGCTTTTACACGAGTACTGGTTAGGTAAGCAAATTGGGGTTAATTAGGTAAGGTTTAAAGCCAATTGTCGTCCCTCTACTTTCATATTTTATTCGTTCTTGTCCCTCTACTAAGGATTTGTTTGTTGTCATCCTTCTACTCTACTAAAGAGCCAAATGTCATCCCTCTACTCCTCTTTTTTGGTTCATTGTCATCCCTTCCCTGACGCCCGTTCATGTTGCCGTCACTGTTGACAGTTAAATCCTAAATGATCAACAGTTAAACGGTTCTATTTATTTCACATGTGCTGCCACCTGTGCAACAATGGAGACCACTTTGCACACTTTGCCTCCATGTTTACTCAGACCCCATACTTTCATTTTCTTTTTTTGTTGCAGAGATGAGTTTTCGCAGATCTGGAGGATTGTTCACCTGAGAATGTTAAGACTGAGGGTCCGACAGCAACAGCCCCGGCAGTTGTGATGTTGGCGGTGGAAGAGGGCGATGAGGCGGTGGAAGAGGGCGATGAGGAGGTGGTAGCAATGGTGGCGTTGAAACATTTCTGGCACATATTATTGGTAGCGAGATTACCGGTGAGACCGTAGTTGTTGATGCAGAGAGTCAAGGTTTCCGGCACCTTGAACTCGATCTCTTTTTTCTTGGCTCTTAAAGCCATGTCTCTCTTATTCGCGAGTTGCAAAAGAGAGGCGTTGCTATGGGATTTTGTTAATTTGGAGAGAGAGAGAGAGGGAGGGGATGGGGTTTTAGTTGGGTTGTTTTTGGCAATGGCAACAATGGTGAACAAAAATGTGGAGAATAGGGTTGTAATTGCCAGCATGCGATAGTAATTGTCAAGATGACTTTTGCTAATGTCATTGCCACTGCCAACCCAGTTGCTTGGAGAAGCTACTGTGAGTATCATGCTAAGGAAGTTCCCTACAGTATCCACAATTCCGTACACTGCTTGTACCTGTAAGTCATTGTCTATATGGTCATGGAGAAATTCTTCTAACCCTTCTTCCAGTATTCCTTTCATCATTCCCCACAGAAGAAACTGGGGCAGAAGCCATAACATGCTGGCAGAATTATAATTGGAATCCAATCTGTGAGCAACAAGAGAAGCTACTATGCAACACAAAGAGGAAAAAAGCATACCAATGCTGATTCTGGGGACCCTAGCCCGCCGTTGTTTTTTTCTATCATGGTATTGTTTGATTAGACAATGGCACACCTGCTCGGTTATTTTGTAGACAAGCTCCAAAAAAAAAGAAAAAAGAAAAAAAAAGAAAAAAAAAAACGGATTTAGGAATCTTGAAGCTCTGGGTATTGTTTTCTAGATAATCAACTTGTTCCATGAAGAAAGACTCAGCTATTGCATT